TGGTCATCTCCTACATGTACGTCTGGTCTTACTATGTGTAAACTCTGGTCCAAGGTCATTTCCTACATGTACGTCTGGTCTTACCATGTGTAAACTCTGGTCCATGATCATTTCCTACATGTACGTCTGGTCTTACCATGTGTAAACTCTGGTCCATGGTCATTTCCTACATGTACGTCTGGTCTTACCATGTGTAAACTCTAGTCCATGATCATTTCCTACATGTACGTCTGGTCTTACCATGTGTAAACTCTGGTCCATGGTCATCTCCTACATGTACGTCTGGTCTTACCATGTGTAAACTCTGGTCCATGGTCATTTCCTACATGTACGTCTGGTCTTACCATGTGTAAACTCTGGTCCATGATCATCTCCGACATGTACGTCTGGTCTTACCATGTGTAAACTCTGGTCCAAGGTCATTTCCTACATGTACGTCTGGTCTTACCATGTGTAAACTCTGGTCCAAGGTCATTTCCTACATGTACGTCTGGTCTTACCATGTGTAAACTCTGGTCCAAGGTCATTTCCTACATGTACGTCTGGTCTTACCATGTGTAAACTCTGGTCCATGATCATCTCCGACATGTACGTCTGGTCTTACCATGTGTAAAATCTGGTCCATGGTCATTTCCTACATGTACGTCTGGTCTTACCATGTGTAAACTCTGGTCCATGATCATTTCCTACATGTACGTCTGGGTCTGATCCTAGTGGCTGCAGTTTCCTCGGTTGAATCCCCTCCGACCAATCAGAGAGCGGGGGAGGCGGGTGTTGTAGGTCGGTGTCGGTGACGTCAAGAGTTTGTGCTGAATTTTCTGGTTGTAGTTTGTCGGAGAATGCAATAGTAAAATAATCTGTTCTGGTTCAATCCAAATATCAAGAAACTGAAGCCGGAGCAAGAGGAATGTTTAGTAAATGTCTTTGAAGCAAAGATGTTGTGCCTCTACTCCCCACGGGCTCCGTTAGTGGGAAAGGAGATGGCTAAAGCTAGGCTAATTGCTAAAGCTAGGCTAAATGCTAACGACTCACTCGGGCTCATTACATACGTCACCGTAAACTCAGATCCAATGGTTTCAATCTGCAAAAGGAGTTAGCCCTTCCCACCTGTAACGGAGTCAATGGAGAAAATCCAAACCTTAGTACGAAATGAAATGAGTATGATGGTGTGGTAAGACCGGGCTTTTTTCACCTTGTGTCCGTAATAAAGTTCAATAATAACATCATTGAATTGTTGTTTCAAAATAGTAAAGCAATCACATTCAAGGCGCACTTGCTCGCTCTTGAACCGACACCTCTGAATGTAACTTTTCAGAATCAGAATCAGAATCAGAATCAGAATCATTTTTATTGCCAACGTAAGTAACGGGAGGTCACAGACTTGGAAATTGCTTTGGCTCAGTGCAACAGTCAAAAAGAGATAATAAAAATAAGAATAAAAAACACTTCTAAAGAATAAATTTAAATTTAAAATAGAGTTACAGTTACTATTTACAATATACAAGTGCACATGGTGCACACAATGTAAGGTGACAGCAGTACAGTGAAGTAAAGTGACGTATGATGGGCAGTAAAGTGACTTTATAAAGGGCGGGGGGACAGGTTAAGAAGTGTTCAAGAGTCCAACAGCAGAGGGGAAGAAACTGTTCTTGTGGCGGGAGGTTCTAGTCCTGATGGACCGCAGCCTCCTGCCTGTGAGGGGAGTGGTTGGAATAGTCCATGTGCAGGGTGAGAGGGGTCGGCTGTGATACGACCAGCCCGGCCTCGAGCTCGGGCGACGTACAGGTCCTGCAGCGATGGAAGGCTGCAGCCGATCACTTCCTCTGCAGAGCGCACAATGCGCTGTAGTCTCTGTTTGTCCCTGACTGTGGCTCCAGCGAACCACACGGTGATGGAGGAGGTGAGGATGGACTCGATGATGGCCGTGTAGAACTGCACCAACATCTGTGCAGGCAGCTTGGCTTTCCTGAGCTGCCGCAGGAAGTACATCCTCTGCTGGGCCTTCTTGATGAGAGAGCTGATGGTCGGCTCCCACTTGAGGTCCTGGGTGATGGTGGTGCCCAGGAAACGGAAGGACTCCACAGAGGTGATGGGGGAGTCCATCACGGAGGGTGGGGGCGGGGGGACAGTGCTCTTCCTGAAGTCCACAATCATCTCCACTGTCTTCTGGGCGTTCAGCTCCAGGTTGTTACCACTGCACCAGGACACCAGCCGGTCCACCTCCCTCCTGTAGGCGGACTCATCGTTGTTGGAGATGAGTCCAATGAGGGTGGTGTCGTCCGTGAACTTGATCAGCCTCACAGAGTCGTGGCTGGAGGTGCAGTGGTTGGTGTACAGGGAGAAGAGCAGGGGAGAAAGAACACAGCCCTGTGGGGCTCCTGTATTTATAATCCGAGAGTCCGAGACATTCTTCCCCAGACGCACTCGCTGCTTCCTGTCCGTCAGGAAGTCAGTGATCCACCTGCAGGTGGAATCGGGCACGTTGAGCTGGGAGAGCTTGTCCTGGAGAGGGATGGCAGGATTGTGTTGAAGGCAGAGCTGAAGTCCACGAACAGGACCCTGGCGTAGGTCCCCGGGGAGTCCAGGTGCTGTAGGATGTGGTGGAGGGCCAGGTTAATGGCGTCGTCTACAGATCTGTTGGCTCTGTAGGCGAACTGCAGGGGGTCCAGGAGGGGGGAGGTGAGGGACTTGAGATGGGAGAGAACCAGGCGTTCAAATGACTTCATGACGACAGTTGAAGATTCAAGATGGCGCCTCGTACGGTCGACATGGCTCTTTGCTGCTCTCTTTTTCTTTTGTTTTTACTTTTTAACTGTGCATCTGGCTGTTCCTACACCCGTGAGGAACTTATGAACATCCGACCCACCGTTCCCATGGACCTATTGCCTGTTTTCTTGGCATCTGCGGCTGATTTAGTTCATGTTCTAGCCAAAAAAGTGTGGGCCCGTAAAAGGGGAAAGCGAGGAGGCTGCTCGTGCGTCTTAAGAGAAGAGGAGCGCGCACGGCTCTCCCCGGCATTTTTCTCTCCAACGTACGCTCACTGGGCAATAAGATGGACGAACTCAGCCTGCTCATGAGAAGAAACAAGGACTTCGCCACATCCTGTGTCCTCTGCTTCACTGAGACCTGGCTAAATGAGCGGATCCCGGACTGCGCTCTGGAGCTGCAGGGCTTTGGGCTGTTTCGCGCGGATCGCCATTGTGCGCTCTCAGGGAAGAGCAGAGGCGGAGGGCTCTGTTTCTACGTCAATACAAACTGGTGTAACGATGTGACAGTGATCTCCAAGCACTGCTCTCCTGCTCTGGAATATCTTTTCATTCATTGTAAACCATATTACTCCCCGCGGGAAATTGTTTCATTCATTCTTGCCTCTGTTTACATACCGCCATGCGCGGACGCAGAGCAAGTACTGTGTATGGAACGCTTATACCCGGACTCTCTGATTATTATCCTGGGGGATTTTAATAAGGGAAACTTGAGCCAGGAATTACCCAAATACAGACAGTTTATCAAATGCCCGACCAGAGAGGAGAACACTCTGGATCACTGTTACACCACCGTGCGCGGAGCTTTTCGCGCTGTTCCCAAGCCAGCCCTCGGCTTCTCAGATCACTCCATGATACATCTGGTTCCTGCTTACAGACAGAGACTAAAGCTCTCGAAACCTGCAGTGAGGAGCTCCAAAGTGTGGTCTGATGAAGCTGTGGAAGAGCTGCGCGCATGCATGGAATCTACAGACTGGGACCTTTTCAGAGCTGCCACAGATAGTTTGGATGAATATACGGACACTGTAACGTCATACATCCACTTCTGTGAGGATAGCATCATTCCAACAAGGACCAGGGTCATCTATAACAACGACAAACCCTGGTTCACTGCTAAACTCCGGCAGCTCAGGAAAGCAAAGGAGTCTGCTTTCAGGGAGGGGGACCGCAGCGGCTACAAAGCAGCTAAATATCAGTTCAGGAAAGAACTGAAAGCAGCCAAGTCCCGGCACAGAGAACGACTACAGGAGCAGTTTGGTAACAACGATACTGCTTCTGTCTGGAGGGGCCTACGGGAGATCACCAACTACAAACCCAAAGCCCCCCCCTGTGCTGATGACCACAAGCTAGCTGACGATCTGAACTTATTTTTCAGTCGCTTTGATGCTGCCCCTGACACCTCTCCCTCCCCCACCCCCCACTACTCTAACGACCCACCCATCAGCCCTGCCCCCAGCCTAACAATAGCCTCTAAAGAGATTAAACAACTCTTCCTGAGGCTGCACCCCCGCAAAGCTCCTGGCCCGGACCACGTGTCTCCGGCCACTCTGAGACACTGCGCCAGTGAGCTTACTCCTGTGTTCACGGACATTTTCAACTCCTCTCTGCAGTCCTGCCATGTCCCGGCCTGCTTCAAATCCTCCATCATTGTCCCCGTCCCGAAGAAGCCCAGAATCACAGATTCGGAGGCTTTAACGGAGCA